AGCTAAAACCTTTTTCTTTTTTTTGTGTGTGTGTGTAGGGGACGTTAGATGTTCAGGTGACTTTCTGCCGCGTTTTTCGGGTCCACGGCCTCTGGTGAAGCGTTTCGAAGAGGCTGTGGCTTTGAAGCTTTCCGAGAAACGTCCTCGGATGAACCGAGTCCCGTGATATACACTGATTTGTGTGAGAGAACGTGCCTTCGCTTCGTTCCCACAGCGACTGCTGGTGTAACCCGAGGCCGCGATGGACTCCGCGCGTCCGATGTGCGTATACAGGTTGCGTCCCGCCCCCCTCGCCCTCCGCGCTCTTCGGCGCGGCGCGCAGAGAAGCCGGCACACTCGAATGGCCGCGCGCTTCGAAGTAGGCAGGCATCTCTGTGTGTACGCGTCGCTAGCAGTTTGCGATGCGAAGAGGAACGCGACAAGGGGCTAGCCGGACCGACGGTCAGCATCGACGCGGTCGTGCCTATTCGTCCGCTTTGCCATCCAGGGCGCAATCACGTGGACAACGTCGCGTCGCAACCTGCCATGACCTGCGACTTCGCCTCGCAGGTAAAATGGCCCTACCGGGCGTTAGCGCTGCATCTTGCCGATCATGCTTTTTCCTTCAGTCCTCGTTGCGTTACTTTCACGCACTACGCAAGCAGCGCTCTTAGCACTAAGGGTTGCGCGCTGTCAAGACTGACTGCAGCGGCCCGGATTCACAGCCTGGGTGGCCGCGTTTCTATAGGGGGCGAAATGTAGAGGACACCCGTGTGCATACGCTTAGGTGCGCGTTAGAGAATAGGTGGTCCAAGTTATTCCAGACACCTACCTCACTATATGACGGACTTCATAACTGTATCTGGGTTTTCTCACGTAAAGCCCCAGCATTTATAGAATTATTATGCTTTGTAGAACTGAGCATCTTAAACAAAGGACTTCTTTCATAAGAATTTCGGGCAGGTTTCACTTGTCTCTAATATGAATCATTCTTGACCAACGTCTGTTTACACGGAGTGTACGAGAAGGCACTAGTTGATACGACACTTCTTCGCTTCTTTGCTGCAAACTCTGAATGCTCTCTTCTTGCTAAAAGTTCTTTCACATTTTGTCTATCGAATGACTTGCGACGCAGGGCGAATAATTCTTTTACTGGCTTCGTCAAACATACCAAAGTTGAAGAATCAAACAGCCTTTGCGCTGCTCTCTCATTTCACCTGTCTAAACAGACACGCCCGGACGTGGCCTCCTAGCATTTTTAGTGTGACTAATATTGCTTCATACGAAAAGGCTCGCGAGCTTTGGCGTAGAGTGCTCACAAAAGACAATTCGCGCGCGTTCAGCTCCAGCTGATACCCAGACCTGAGAAAATGGGCGGAGACATCGAAGTAATCACCTGTGCACTCCGAGAAGCCTCAGCCTCGTGGGTGAAAATGTGTGCTCTCTGAAGGTCATGCAGTAAGACTGTTTACCCCGTCGAATTTCAGTCACTTAAAGAAGGGTGAACTTCCGATGATAACTTCGACGACACTCTCCCGTGAGCTCTGTGTGCAGGCCCGTAGCGAGGAATTGAGTGGGGTTGCCCAATATTGAAGGACCTTAACTATATAACAAAACACCTATTTCACAACTTATTTACGGTAAAACACCTTCCTCCATAAGTATTTTGGCAATTGAGGGAGGGAGGGGGTGGGTGCCACTGGACCATACAGTTGGAAGATTTTTAAGTTGTGCACTCATGTAAACTTTACCACTTATAGTGAGCTTGAAGATGGCGTGCTCCCTGTAATCGCAAGGGGTCGCATGTGTCTCGTTGGAATCGATGCTTAGTCACTTCTTATGTTTAACCTATATCGTATGCCCTGGAATGGCACGACCTACTGGTAAGGCCAGTGTGCCAGGTATACATTGCAAACGGCGGCTGTGGGTGTTTAGACGGATGATATATTATGGGAGCAGCAGCCGGCCGCCGTTGTGGAAGTTGTTTGCGATATTGCATGAGTCCAGCGTTGTAAGTGCGGAGTCTGGGGAGATCGACTTCGTGTTGCATTGAAAGGTGCTTGGCCAACATTTATGGCCTGTCGGCACGGACGCATGGCTGAAATAATCCTCTTGGGTCGCGGTCTTATCTACGCGCTATGAATGGAAGCATCACGGGCGGCGGCGGCTTTGTCTAGAAGTCAAGGCCTTTTCTCCAATAACATCTCGACCACCGCAACGCTAATGTCGGTGACTTTGCTGAGTTGAAGCGTGCCAAGTGCTTGTCACTATGTGTGTGTGTGTGCGTGTGTGTTCAGAGGACAGTGACCTATAGGTACAAAAGGATGAACATTGTAAGCGCGTCACATTGCAATAATGAACGGGACTACAACGCGTGAAAATCTTGGATATTCATTTATGTGTTAAACAAAAAATCAATATTGCATTGCATAAATGCTTTGGACCGAATAGTGTCACTTGTTACTTTGGCAGGAATCAGCGTGTGTAGCAATAATGATATCTGGGGTTTAACGTCCCAAGACCACCATATGATTATTAGAGACGCCGTACTGGAGGGCTACGGAAATTTAGACCACCTGGGGTTGTTTAACGTGCACCCAAATCTGAGCACACGGGTCTACAACACTTCCGCCTCCATCGGAAATGCAGCCGCCGCAGCCGGGATTCGATCCCGCGACCTGCGGGTCAGCAACCGAGTACCTTAGCCACTAGATCACCGTGGCGGGGTGTGCGTAACAATATATGTTACAGCCGTGAAGGAACATAGGTGGCTTCTACACTTCGTCCAGCTTTATTCGGTGCGTCGACTGCACGACCAACTGCTTAGAGCACGAAAGGCTCTGACCCCTGTTTTTTTTTTTTTTCTGTAGCATTTATGCTTGACACCTGCGAGCAGTTCACCTTACGCAGCCAGACAACGCGACCCAGTCATGGCTAATAAAAGCTTAAAAGGTCCTCTGCCAATTAAATACACGTGCGATGACAGGAAATCTGCTTCAGTCGGAAAAACAGTCTGATCCACCAACTGCCTCGCGAGCCATTGTGGTTTTTGGTTGGTTGGTTGGTTCCTCAACACCTTGGCGCAACCCACCTAGGGGGATAGGCCATGAATGGGACGGTGCCTTGCTTTTCAAATTATTTCACTTCTTGAAAGTGAGGGTTGGATTACTTAGGTAATATAGGTAATAATAAAAAGGTGTTAAATTTAAAAAAACCTTGAAAAGAAAACATATAAACATACAAAAAATTCTACATAAAACAACTGAAGTTACCTATTATTAGCATTCCATTCTTTTAGATTCTCGTAAGAAATTTGTAACAGCGGTAAAAACGCTCCTGTGGCTGAATCCAAATGCGACTGCGCCAAATGAAAGAATCGCCGGAAGTGTCAAGTTTAAGCCCAACTTTCGTAGGGGTTCTTCTAGTAGATTTTCCCTTTGAGTTCTGAATTTTCGGCATGACAAAAAGAAGTGCTCCAAAGATTCCCTCTCATTACAATAAAGGCACAAAGGCGACTGTGCCAGACCAGATTGTGGTTTTTCTTGCCATTTTAGCACACTTTTCTTCTTCCTCTGGCACGAGACACTTGGGACATGAGCTAGTAGCGGGTAGTCTGCAGAGGAAAAAGAAGAGGTAGTTGGAACAATGGCGGATATGCATTAATAAACCGCGCTGTGTTTTCGGAACCGCGTTTCAGGGTGCTATACCATGATTATAGGAATGCAGTTGAACAATGGTATGGCCATTTCGTTCTCACCGAAAGGATGGCCAGGATGCTGAGCGTCCCCGTTATAACGGGGCGTAGGCCAGTGGAATACCCTGAAGTTAGGCACACCGAGGCCGTTCTTCCTCTCCCCCCCCCCCTCCACTGAAATTTCATTTTGCCAGGGTATACAGAGCGAGAAAATGACCATTACAAGAAGGTGCCCCCCCCCCCTCCCCTATTCCAAAAAAAAAAAGTTCTGTGCACGACGAAGGTCCCTTTACTTTAACGTGGTCTGATTGATTTATTGATATGTGGGGTTTAACGCCCCAAAACCAAATTATGAGAGACGCCGTAGTGAAGGGCTCCGGAAATTTTGACCACCTGGGGTTCTTTAACGTGCACCCAAATCTGAGCACACGGGCCTACAACATTTCTGCCTCCATCGGAAATGCAGCCGCCGCAGCCGGGATTCGATCCCGCGCCCTGCGGGTCAGCAGCCGAGTACCTTAGCCACTAGACCACCGCGGCGGGGCACTTTAACGTGGTCTAATGGCTGATCTAACCTAATTAAGTTCATCCAAACAAGACCTTAGGGAAAAATAAAATTTGATAAGGGCTCAACTTCTAAATTCAGCAGAAACGTGCGATGGCAAATGTTTCTATTCAGAGATTGTGAAAATGAATTTGCTAACCTGTGGAAATATCGACATATCGCTGTTTGAGAGATTATGGCGAGGAAAGATGTCTACAGGAGACTTCGATGATAAAGTCTATGAATAAGGGAAAGAATTGTTTCTTAGCGGTGATGTAACAAGTTTTAGAGTTCAGTGTGATCTCTTGTGCTCTTTCAACCTATCTGTTAGCCAGCTTCCTTGATCATATCCCATAAAATTTCCTGACTAACGTTGTTAGTAATGTCTAGAGAAGCCATAGCGCTCACTAAACACAGGATGGTTCACCGGTCCTTAAACGGTGCTCAGGGCGACAAGTGTTTCTATCTTAAAAGTTCGGGCTCTCTGTGTTCTTCATGTGCAAGCTCTCAAATTTACGACTCACTTTCGCAATATGTCCTTCACAAATATGTCCTTCCACGGGATTCGCTGAAAACTGGGCACAACAAACTATTATGGTGTGGAATATTTTCGTGAATACGGGCTTTATAATGTGTCGGAATTCAGATTCGAAGCGTGCATGTAGACAGTCAGAGGCATTGCGTTTTGCTTGTTAAGGCATATCTGCCAAGTACGCCTTATGCCCCAACAACCCGACCCTTTCTCGGCGCAAAAGAAACTTATTCTCGCACTGTCTGACGCAGGTCGCCCCGCCAAGCGCGCTGCTGCGGCCGCGCTCTCCCCCGCCGAGGCAGTGGGCACCACGGTGACGTCATCACTGCCGAGAGAAGAAAAACCGGCAACCAAGTGCGCTGACGGCAGCGCCGGCGGGGACCGGGGTTCGGCACCGCACCGAGAAAAGGTCATTTATTTATTTATTTATTTATTTATTTATTTATTATTATTTATTTATTTATTTATTTATTTATTTATTTGAGCATGCTGCCATCTTGCATGGCAAGACGTGGCATGAGGGAGTATGTACATATTGTCAACGATTTGTCTACATATCAGACGCAACAAAACTACAAAGAAAGAGAACAATAGAATAAATAGAGTATCCGGGTTAGATCGTGGAATAACGACTATAATAGGGCAACTGTTGCAAAAGTCTTTCGTTCAACAACTCTCCAAAGCATCCCTCAATTGCATTTCGAATCCCGTGCGATCGTAGCCGAACGTGAGTGAATAGAATATAACCATCATACTTAGGACGAATATAAATATTTAATACATGATCGAAACTTGCCAATAACTGTCACAGTTTCCTGAAACGGAGAAAGAGGGAGAGGAGGAGAGCCGTGCTCAGACGAAGTACGTGGAGAAGCAGTACGCACGTGCACACGGCGCCGTGTATTTACTATTGCCACTTCTCGTAAGGAATTGTATACAACCTCAACAATTCAACCAAGATCGGATGACTACAATGCCAGTCTTATAACAGTGGATAGCCAATAGCAGCCAAGATTATCCGTAGTTTAGGCAATATGAGCCAGTGCTATCGAGTACTGGCATAGTATTCACCTTTTCATAAACGCCCCCTGGGCGCCGCCATAGCCCTGCTTGGGCTGTGCAAATTGGCGCGTCCCCTCGAAAATGCACTGACAACGCTGCGCCCTCAGCCTTTGTACTCCCGTGCACAGCCCATCACGGTGGTGTTTTTTTCCTTCCTGTGAAAAAGTGTATACATCTTTTCACAAACTGCTCCCTGGGCGCCGCCATATTTCTCTCTGGGCTGCGCTAAGTGCCTCCCCCCCCCCCCCCCACCAAATTTCCTACCGAGGCTGTGATGTCAGTCTTCGTACACCCGTGTGCAGCCCAGCATGGCGGCGTTTTTCATTCTCCAGAGAAAAGGTCTATACGCGAGTAAAAATGGCTGTTGAGGTCACGTGACTTAGACTGCACTGCGTGCAATTTCGGGCCGCATATTTTGTCAGACATCACTCGCCATAGGAGGATGAGGATGGAAAAGTTTAAGGAAGAGGCTGCAACCCTCAAGAACTGTGGCAGCTTCGAACTAGCGGTGGCAAGCCTCAAGCAAATGATGAACAGGGCAGTTTTCTGTTTTTCTAGTGGGTGTTTCTTTTGTTTCCTCCTCTCTCTTTTCTTTTTTCTCTTTATTTATATTTATTTATTCCTCTGTCATTATCTATATCGCTCTCTTTCTTGCTCTATTTTTCTTTCTATTTTATACCTTTCTCTTTTCCTATTCCGTGCTCAATTGCGTCCTTTTTTTTCCTTCTTGATACATGGTCTGCGTTACGGAAAACGCACTAGTTGTTCTTTTTCTTTCTTTTCCTTTTTTTCGCTGATGATTATAAGTGATTGTCATTAAGACACTCGAAATACAAGAGGAACTCGAACTCGCGCTCAGTATGCCACACACTGAGCGTTACGCCAAGTGACAATGACAGCATACTACGGCACACGTCAGCCTGACCCCTGAGGTGCTCCGCACTCGAAACGGACATTCAAACGAAGGGCTTACCCGAATTTATTTTTTCTTCGTCTTTTTTTGTTTTTAATCTTTACTCAGATGTAGAACATGGCAGTGTTCTTATCAGACAAACTGCATTTAATTAAATGTGCTGCATTTGAGAGAGCCAGCAAAAAAATCGTAATAGTAGCATCCACATTTATTGCCCTTTTGCCGCGAGGTGGCGCGCACAGATGGCCAGCACTGGGGTTTAGGGACCGGGACGGGTTGCCTTAGAACGCGTAGTTATAAAGCAAGATTCAGTAAAGAAGAAGAACAATGCACATGCTGCGGGAAAGATAAGGAAACGGCGGAGCATGTTCTGATTGAATGTGGAGATATCCACCCAGGTGTACGTTTGGGCACGAGCCTACAGGAAGCCTTGGGTTTTAGGGACAACAATGGAAAGCTGAACACACCCGCGATTGAAATAAGTAAGAGACGGTTAGAGTATTGGTGGCAGAAAATTAGAGAGAAAGGACAAAAATAAATATTGGAAAAATAAAATATGGACAGTGTGCCGTAAATGGCAGAGAACTTAAGCTGAAAATTTACCTTTTTTCCATTAAGATAGAATTTATCGAAGTAGAGGCATTAGGCCAACATAAAAAAAAACAAAAAAGGTTTTTTTTTTTTTTTTTTGTCGAGCCTGGTGGCATACTTGTCACCACCCCGTTATAAAGGGGACGCTCATAGCATCCATCCATCCATCCAGCCCATCTGTGCGCGAGATGGCCGCGCACAGATTGGTGGCGCTAGCCACCGCCCGATCTAAAGGGTACAGCTATATCCATCCATCCATCCATCCATCCATCCATCGCGCCAGACGATCAAACGGGGTGTCAGTGGCCGCGTGCGCATCACACCCCCATCGCAGATTTCGCTACGGCGATCTATAAATACAGTTGCCGGGAAACTCTCGGTATGATTGCGAACGTCATGCGGGAGAAGTCAACTGGAAAAGAGAGAGAGAGGAACGGCCTTCGAATGCTTGAAGCTTTACCAGCAACGTTGTCGTAGGCAGGATTAGGGTGTGAAGTGTTCAACCCCTCTTGAAATACTTACATCGGGTTCGTAATTCGTACATGTGCAAAACACACAGACGAACAAACATATCGAGAAATCGGATTTACAGCTTCCTTGAAATAAATTTCTGGCTTCACCTTTGACCAGCGATAAGTTGCCCCGCCGCAGTGGTCTAGTGGCTAAGGTACTCGGCTGTTGACCCCGCAGGTCGCGGGATCGAATCCCGGCTGCGGCGGCTGCATTTCCTATGGAGGCGAAAATTTTGTAGGCCCGTGTGCTCAGATTTGGATGCACGTTAAAGAACCCCAGGTGGTCAAAATTTCCGGAGCCCTCCACTACGGCGTCTCTCAAAATCATATGGTGGTTTTGGGACGTTAAACCCCACATATCAATCAATCAACTAGCGATATACCTAATGCCTCAGTTGATCACCTCCGTCATTCGTCGTGTGTTGTGATGGCGCGATTTCTGGACGCTCCGCTTGAACTTTGCACTTTCGCCCATTCAGGTATTGCGCCCTCTTATTATGCTTCCCAGCTATGCGTCATGCTCGAAACTTCGGACATTGTGTGTGTTAAGGTCAACATTTATGTAAAGTAGAGCTACGCGGACGCGATTTATGACGAAGGACTCTCTCGCTCTTCTTTCCAGGTATTCTACAGTTGGATCGTAGAACGTAGTCATACATTGTTAAATAATTAAATTAACATCCGCAATCACTTCAAAGCATATTTTTATGGCAGCTATCGTTAAAATACGCCTTTTATGGGCGTTACAAACTTAATTCATTGGAAGGCTTACCAAGTACGCTTCGTTCAGTTCAGGAACGTATTATTTTGTTTACGAGAACCTCTCGGTATACTGATTTCTACAAGAGAAGCGTGCGAGGAATTTTTTTTTAGGTGAATGATTCTATAGACTCCGTAGCACTATGATTACACTAATAAAATTACTTATTGTTGTAATGATTAACGTAACGAATTGGTTCTACAAGTTGACAAAGTAGTAGTGTAATGAATTATACCAAGCGAGTAATTTCAAGCAAGTCATTTCCTACTTTCCCAGTTACATTTGACTAAAATATAACACATCGACTTCTCCATGTTGTATGAGAAAATTGATCAGAAAAAAAAACAAAGAAAAAATATCGAATGCGAGTTAGTCCGAGTACCAAACCTCAAGAGAGGGAACGAGGCCGTGGCACTGAAAAACCACGTAGCATTCGAACTCGAATATATAGCTCTGCTATTTGCTAACTTTTGTTGAAGTAATGTTATTACTGCTTCAAAGTAATAGTGATGTAATGTCAATACTTTTCGCCACCTTTATTTTGTTACATGCTTAATCCTTAGAAATACATAAAAGTAATCAGAAATGTAACCTGATTACTTTTAGGAGTAATGATGTGACCTCTTGACGATTTATGCCTTAAGGACGAAAGAAACAGAAGGTAAAAGATAAGTACTGAAAGCGCACGTGACCTCACGAGAACTTGGCGGACCTGGTCTCCGGCCTGCGCCTGTCATCGAGTCGAGGCATGAGCCGAAGAGGAGCCGGAGATCGCGGGAAAAAAACAAAACAAACGGCTTGGCGTGAAATGAAGAGAGTGATGTACGTGACTGGCCAAAATAGAGCTTGCCAACGGAGGAACACGCTCTGCGTTGTTGCCCTTACTGCCATTTTCGGTATTTGTGTGACGCGCGCTATGGAAACACGAGGCGAGAATGTTTTTCGCGCGCTAAATATAAGCCGTGGCTGGTGGCGCGGGAAATTTGTCTTGGTATCGGTTTTCGCGCCCGCCCTTGTGCACCCGTGTTCCCAACCTCGAAGTGCGCGCCACTCGCGTGACGGCCGCGAGAGGCCTCTGCCGGCAGATGGCGTGCAAATATTTCTTCGGCTTCGTGCTCCGAGCGTGGTATCGCGCCGTAAAGGGTCGGGTGGCTGACTGTGTTTTTGCCTGGAGGGCCAGAGGCTGAGAGCACGGCGCGGCGCAGCGTAGTGTATACATACCATTCCACATCTTGTTTTTTGTATTGTAACAATGATGTCTTAGTCCATGTACTGTGGGTACGACTGGAAATGTGAGCGTGTGAACGCTATATTGCATGGTAAGCTTCTGCAAGCGAAGTATATACATCATGTTATATACACATGTTATGTCAACGTGTTTTTAGCGTACTATACATTTTTCTTTTCTTTTTTATTTTTGTTTCGGGTAACTTTTTTTTTTGCTTCAGAAATTGTAGAAATGGAGTACCCGAGGTAATAGAAACCTCAACCTCGCCCCAGCTACCAGGCATAACAGAACAAGGAGATAGAGACGGGGTACACGACGGACCACAATTCTTGATGTGCGCCTT